TGTTGGGTTTAAAGAACAAAGGTAGAGAGTGGACCATGGAATAAGAGAATCATGTAATAAAAAAGGCAGATGAGAATTTGTTCATACACAGCAAGTATCCTAACAGCAGAAGGAATACAAATGACTCAGTTTCCTTAGCATCATAACAAATTGTATCAGGTATAAGTAATAATAATAAATGAAACTTGACCAATCTGTATTTTACAAACGTCACCCCACCCATTAGAACATTCCTTATTACTTAGAAAATTAATCATGGCTATAATAGAGATGTTCCCATCAGACTTTGTATGATATAAGAATGTAACAATCAGTAAGCAATTAGTTGCATTCAGTAAAAGGCTTCTAATAAGGTAACACATGCAATCCAAACCCTTACGATGTTGGCCTATATAAGAGTGCCTAGCATTCTGGAATGCAGATAGATAGCAGTTGATGAACAACAACCATATCTACATGGCTCCAGATGAACTATAACAAATGACATCTTAAGTTAGCATTGACTAAAGAATTAGTTGACTAATCAGGCTCTAAATTAGATTCTTTAGCAGAATTTTGTTCCACTGATGGACTGCATACTTGCACTAATCTGTATTACCGCAAACTCCATCTACAAGTGAACCACTGTCCCACAAGTCCATGGAATCCATGTGATTCAGAAAACGTTATCCCAAGTGGAATCTGAAGGACAAATTTACAGAAATCCAAACTCATTTGAATTTCTAGTGGATTTCTTCATCTTCCTATAAATAACTAATGTGTGATTATATTATTTTATTGGAAGAAGGGAGGTCTCAGTAAAGGCACAAGGTTAGTTTTGAATTGTTTGTTTGTTTGTTTTTGCAAACAGTGTCATACTTAAGAACTTCCAACAGATATTTTATTTGGATTAAATTCCAAATAAATTCCAAATCCCTACTTGGATTAAATTCCCAACATTCCCTAGGCAGCTACGCTGGTCCTTTTTTGCCTTAGCATGCATAAGAGCTTGCCTCACGTCAGTCTAGGCCCAGCCACAATGTTCTTAAATAGTAATATTCAAATAGGTCTTTTAGTGTCTTTACAAAAGGAGATCATTAGGCATTTATGGCCTTATCTAGTTTGGTGGTTACGGGCACAGTCCCATGCATGTTAAGACAGAGGCATGTTTTTTCCTTGTCTAAATATGTCTACAACTGTGTCTTTAGTCATCAAAATGAATTTATGGCCTATATGAAAACAGGATTTTAAAGAGTATGGCACTAATACTGTATGCTGAGTACTAAATGCATCCCACCCATCACTAGTCTAATTATATGGCTTTCATACAACTCTCTAACAAAGCACTGTCATTCACTTTAAATGATTGAATATTTCTCTGTTGAGTTAATCAGTGTGGAATGCTGGGCAAAAGTAGTTCTAACAGATCCAGACTTTGACAGGTCCAGACAAAGAAAATTACTTAAGGTGGAATATAGAGTTGAGTTGAATGTGTAATACTGTCCATCCCTAGCCAAGTTCTCAAGCAGTTAGCTTTTGGTTAGGTTAGGTTTTGGTTGGGGGGACTCACCTCGTTGTGCAAATTCGAACCGGTGACCTTTCGATCAACCAGCCCAGCAGCACAGCGGTTTAAACCACTGCGCCACCTGCAGTCCCTGGTTAGGTTAACTTTATTCAAGACTATTATGAAAATGATGGGGAAAGATAAAAAATTAATACACTAATATGTACCCTCTCAAATAAAATGTATTTATTAATTCAGAGCATGATTCTGTCGTAATTCTATAACCCATCTATCCCCCAGCCAAGTTAGAGACTTTATGGGCATTCTATTCAGGATGGGATGAGCAGTGGTTATGATTTTCATGCCTGCATTCTCCTGCTCTGCTTTTCTGTTGGGTGGGCTTTTTTGCCCATTGATGCTTGAGAGAAAGCCAGCATAGTTGTTTTCATGCCAACTGTTGGGGGAAGGGAGGTCCTACTTCAGTGAGTACTCATTCAATCATAGTTTAACAAATAAACTGGACAGTGCAATTTGTTAGGGAAGGCCTAGGTAAAGAGATGAGAGTGTGCCACAGTTATTACCTCCCAAAAACCAAGGGAAAAGGCATTCCATAAGATTGGTGGATATTAATGGGAAGCTCTCAAGCAGGGCATGAACCCAGTAGTACCCTTCTATTCATGTTCCCTTGCAGTTACTGAACCTACTGAAAGACATACTGCTTCTGTCACTGGATATAAAACTGGAACCATCTTCACAAATAAATATTTTATTCAATAGGCATCTGTCTGATCCTCTTTAAGTGTAGTAGTAAGTGTCAGCTGTGTGAGGAAGTACTCTTCTTTATCTTTCAGAATGTTCTGCTATGCAGCTTACCTTTTTATAGCATGAGATAACAGAAAAATGTTACCCTATCCATTTGTCTGTGCTTTGGCTAATTTTAGATGCCTATTTCATGTCTGCCAGTAGCTGCCATTTTTTCTAAGTAAAAAATCCCCATGAAGTTACCATCCTTCTTCAGGGGGGAGTTGTTCCAGTTGAAAATTTTGATTTTCCTTTCCTGTACTTTTTCCAGGTCTCTTTTAAAATGTAGTGGTCAGAACCAGACACAACATTCCAAGAGCAGTTGCACTGTAGATTTGTATAGAGGCATTGTGATAGTTTATTTGAAAGCTATCACAATGCCTTTACAATGCTATCACAATTCCTAATGCTCTCCAGCACAGAATTTGCCCTGAATATTATAGAACCTGAATATGAGTCCTGGCTTAGCAATTCCAATGGCTGCTGCTTCTTCCACATTGGGATTTGTTTGCTGCAGCTCCTATTTCAGCACAACTGGTCAGCAAAAGTTTTTACTTGATCAACAAATGTATGAGGAATTGCAGCTAGGGTTTTTTTCCCCAGTTTATTTAGTTGAAGCTGAATAGTGATTTGTAGTGCCAGAGACTGTCATGCCCAGAACTAAGGTGATATAACAAAATTTGCAGAAACATAAATGGTAAAAAGCACAAGTGCTGAGTAAATAATTTTCTCCCCATATTGCTGATCACCTTTGAAGTCACTTTCTGGTTCTAGGCATTCCAATCCTCTCTAAGCTTTACCCTGACCCCATACCAAATAGAAATACTAAAAGAAGCTTGTTCCTTTCCAGTAAAAAGCTCTGAGGCCTCTTACATTGCTCTGGACCAATAATGTAGTCCTTGAAGATCCTTGGTATAAATTAATCACTTTGATTAATTGATTAATCAGTTTAATTGCTTAAAATAATAAACTAAAAGGGTACTCCTAGTTAATCAGGAAGGTCCATGTGTGTCTGTGACTGTGGGTGGGTGGGTGGGTGGGTGGACTGATCTGTTTCATACATCTGTTTCCTGGCACCCCCACCCTCAGGGGTGCTTATAAAAGCTAAAGACTGATAACCGGATTTTCACTGAGGTATTCCTCTTTTAAGGAACTTCCTGGCATGCAACATATGTTTATAATAAATAAAAATACTTCTTCCTTCAAGAATACTCTCTGTATATCTTAAATGTACATAAATTCAACCGTAAGTAACTTAAACTCATATAATCAGTACATTGACCATTTTTATCCAGGTTCAGCCCTAGTATAAGTACATAACATTCACCTTTCATTTAGCAAATTATGGCAGCACATTTTGGTAGACAGAACAGCCACCTATAGCCATTTTTCTCAAAAGATGAAGAAAAATGTAATAGGAAAAAGGATTCACAGAATATTCTCCAGTTATATTGTGATTCTGTTTAGCATATGTACAGAAATTGAACATGAGTGTGTCTGTTCTGTGCCTGCCTATTTGCTTATGTAACTCCTTATATATCATTGCTGCTGCTGCTGCTTCCATCTCCCAGAGAGAGGAAAAAAACGACAAAATTCCCTGGCTTTGGCAGCCAGGCTTAGGCAGTCTCTGCAAGTTGAATATTAGGACGCGGCTTGTCATGTACTCAGGGCTGTACTGAAGGCTTTCCAGGGTGTTACCATAGCACTCTTCTTTATTAGCAGGAACAGTGGCATCACTTACCACCCCTCCAAATGTCCTTTTCCTCTGAGTTAATTGCTGCAGCCCTCCCATCAGTGGGAAGGAAATAAATTTCCACAGCAACAATGCATTGTCTTCTGTTGCAGTGTAAAGTATTTTGGGCTGGCATGCTTTTGAATGAGCAACTAAGACCCCTTAGGTTTAGAAAAACACAAACAAACCTGTTCCTAGCAGAGATGAAAACCGATAGGCTTGGTTTGCTAGAGTGGATCAACAAAACGGGGGGAATTTTTAGCATCTTCTTGGGAATGTAGTTATAAAGACTGCTGTGATCAGTGTCTGTGCTTCAAAGTCTTCCACTATACACTGCATGGCTTTCCCACCTAATGGAAGTTGGTTTGGGGAAGACTAGGTGACCCTTTCCCTTCAAGGAAAAGTGTTTCCTCCTATCTCAGGCACTGGTCAACCAGCCCAAATCACCATTTAATTATAGCCTTTTCAACTGTGATGCTAGAAGACTGCTATGAGTCCTGCTGAGAGGAGAGTGTCCTTCTGTTTGGTTTATGACATCAGAGAAAGTGCAGTGTGAGCAAAGATAATGACACTTGAGAGGCTGAGTCAACATGCAGGAACAGCAAAACTTTGTCATCAGAACTAAAATAGTTGAGCCTGTCACATTGGCTTTAGGGACTGCCTTGGCAAGAATAGAATTACAACAATAAATTATAAATAAAAGTACTTAGTCTTTGCCTAGAACAAGGAGTACAATACAGAAGAGGATGTCCTAGCCTCCTTTGATAGAGAATCTGGGAGTGCCTACCAAGAAGACCCACCAAATATGCCTCCAACAGCAGCAGAACTAAGAGAAGGGTCTCTCCTGGAGGACTTAAAACCCAGCCACACTCACATAGAGAAAGGCTGGATCCTAAACCATATAGCTCAACATAATCAGTATGTTGAATGGTGTCTAGAAACAGTAACCCATAAAGCTTTGGTAACAAAGGAGTCGTGTGCTACCTGTAAATGGCATTCTGGACCAGCTGAAGTTTCCAAATCCTTTTCAAAGGAAGCTCCATGTAGAGCAGCACTATAGCCCAATAGGCTATTATTAAGACATACTTGCATTGCTTATATTTATAGCCCACCTTCTTTCCTGCAGAGAGACCAAGGTAGCTTATATAATCCTCTGCCTCTTCCTTCCTTCCTTCCATTTAATCCTCTTAACAACTCTGTGATTTTAGTTAGGTTGAGTCAGTGATGACTCAAAGTCACCCTGTGAACTTCATGGCCATATGAGGATGAGAACCTAGCTCTCCAGAGTCCCAGCCCAGCACTAACCATAATGCTACCTTGGTGAGGTCAAACACCCCCAGGAATAGGCATAGTTGTTCATTAGTGTGAGCTGTGCAAACATATTCCTGGCCACCATTGAAACCTGGACATCCAAGTTCAGATCAGAGTACAGATGTACTCCAACATCTCAGGGAGTACTTGGTGGCTATGGACCAAGTTCAGTCCATGTTGTACTGTTTTATAGAGCCGGGCAAGTTGCCCCCTTTGTCCTCTTTCCTAACATTTTGTTGTATTTCTGTAAATGGTGAAATTATTCTAGACACGCTAACACCTCTATCTTGTTTTGCTGTAGTCTTGTTTTGGCTACATAGCCACTGGCACTCCAGACCTAAGCTCACTAATAGAAGAAATGATTGTGTTTTGTGTTAGTATTAAATATTCCAGTCATTTTAGTGGACTTTCAGCCAATAAGGGATGCAGTGTTTTGGAAAAGTCCTAAAGTGATTAATCTATTTACAGCTGCATGTACTGCAAATACAACATAAATAGCCAAATGCAAGTGAGACCAAACAATGACAGAAAACAGAAAATGAAAAATAGACCTGGTATTTCAGGTTAGGTGCAGTAAATTACCATGTTATTCATTGAAATCTCTCCAGACCCAGCAGCTCATATATCATCTGTCAATAGGCTAAATTCCATATATAAATTTATGTCATTTTTGTGTGCTGTCTCTAAATGTACATTATTCTCAGAGGAGGCTTGCAATTACACAAGTCGTATGATTTGGCGATATGGCTCATGCTTGCACAAATCCCCCTAAAGAGCTAACCTACATTTCAGGGAGAGTAGAGAACCCCTCTCTAGAGCTGTTTTCTGATTTTATATAATCTTTCCACTATTGGTGAAATGCTAATTTGGAGGCAATGTATTGTCGTAGCATTGTGACTTTACGTCAGTGGGGCAATAAGAGCATCTGTGGTTTCTGAATCAGCTATATTTATTAATCTTAATATTTTACCAGGAATACCACAGTTGAAAAACCAAAATTACCTTTCCTGGATGTCCTGAAAACAACCAAATTGTCATAGGCTAATATCATAAACTTGTAGATTCCCACCTATACCTTAACTGCAAGCTCTAATGTCACCCGGTAATAGTCTTCCCAAAATGTAGGAAAAAAGCTAGGCTAAAAGTCTTTGATGTCTATAAACCAATGTCTAGAGTATGAGAAACAAACAGCCCAGACCTAAACTCTTAATACAAGATGGTGAATATGACTTAATAGGTGTAACAGAATCTTGGTGTAATGACTCCCATGACTGGAATTCAGGGATACAGATCCTTTAAAAAGAATAGAAGGAACAGAAAGGCAACCTTACAACTGTTTTTAAAAGGGCAAACCTGCCATGTTAAAACAAATGAAGTGCAAACAGGGCCTTTTGAACCATCATATCCATTGTGGCTTACTGCATCCTGCCATGGTGAGCATGGCTGGAACATACTGTGAGGGCATTGAACTCCTACTGCTGTGACAGATCACCCCAGAGGCATGAGAGAATGGATTTAGCAGAACAGAGTAGAACTTATCTCATTGCTCCAAGGACTTTAGCTGACTCTATGTCTCTTCTCAAGCCAGTTCCTCAAGCAGCCGCCCTTATAAATAATGTGTAGCTCCCATGAAGGCAGGGATCAATTCAGTTTCTGCCAGATCCTGGGTTCCTCCAACCGTGCTGTCTTCTGCAAGATGCAGGCATCAGTGGCTTGCTGCCCCATGCAGATAGGAATTTTTTTTCCCAAGCTTAGTACTACATGTAAAAGTGGTAATGGAGTTGCCTCTCCAAAGGGTTCTTGTTATATTACTCCTGGACAATAAGGGCAATCAGTCCTTGGTAACAAAGTGGTACTGAGAAACATATGTGTTTGTTTGTTTTTAAATTTGGGGTCTTCACACAGTGTAGACACAACTCCACATGTTGAAGTTTATGATTTTATTGTATGTCATGGAAGCCAACTGCAAGGCTGATCTAGTGAGCTATAAATACTGGTTGTCAGCAGAAGGAGTCTTATGCTTGGTGCTCCTTGCACAGAGAATAGAATACTGCAATATAGGATTAAGTTCTTTGTGAGCAAACGGAGATCTAAGAACTGTAGAGTACACGACACTTGTGAATCTGAAGCTAACAACATTACAACTTTAAACAAAAAGATTATGATCTATTCCATTAATAGAGAGAAAATGGTAACATAGATGCACTGGAATTGACATTTACAGCCCTTGCTCAGTAAAACGCAGAAGCACATCTTTCTTTGCACAAATGTACATGGCTGGATGGAGATGTCTTTCTATTGCTATTACTTTCAACAGAAAAACACATACTTCATTTAACTAATTAAGTTTTAACCTATCCTGTAGGACTAATTATAAGTGTATGTATTGTGTGATTCAGTATTCTTTATGCGGTTTCACAGGGATGGTTAGTTACATAGAGAAAGATGATGGGGGAAGGAGATTTTCCTTCAAAGTATCACCTGGTTAGGTTTTGTAGTGCCAATTATATATTAATTACTATTAAAGATAAACATAGGAGTTGGTGAAAAAAAATGACTGTTCTATAGCACCGATTAGAGTTTTAACACAATACTACTTTTCCTTACTGAAACTTAAGGAGAACTGTTGGCTGTGCTTTCATTGTTCTAATCTTTAAATAAATAAACAAACAAATACACAAAACCCCACCCAATTTTCTCCTTTGCATCTGCAGTTTAATCTGTGTGACAAAGCTTCTTATCTATGAAAGATCTAGTAAACTGAGCTATGTCAAAATCCACAGGCATCTGTCACATCTTTTAAAGATGAAAACCCTTGCTGAGCTCCAGAGTACTTAGAGTCAGCCTACTTCTCTTTTGATTGCAATGAACATCAAAAGAGAAGCAGGCTGACTCCAGGAACATCATACTTTTGCTAATTATCATGGACAGTGTTGTAACAACCATGCACACACACCCATCTCATAAAATAAACATACAGTGAGATTTTAAAGGTGTTATAAAAAGCATTTGTTGTTGTTTATCTTGCATCTTTCTGTAAAACACTTAGCATGCAATCGGATGATGTTGCCCATACCCCTCTGATTGCATGCATCCTATGTAGGGTGGGAGGCATGCAGAGGTGAAGGTCACCTCTGCTCTTTTCTCACTCTGAAAGCTAGTTAGGTTTTGACTGTGGCAATTTGGAGGGGAAGGGAAGAAGACTATGACACTGCCAGGACATATTATATCTTGGTGGCTGGTCCCCTTCCCTCATTGCCCCATAGGACCCACAAAAGCTCTGTGTCAGTGGGCAGAGAAGTGAGGGTAAAGAAAGGGTCACAAGGTTAGTATACAAAGAATCTTGTGCCTTCTCTAGCCCTGCCCCACTGGCATGCCTCCTTTAGATAGGCTTGGATGCCTGCCAAGAATAAAATCCTAACCGCAGGAACACAGAGAAATGAACATTGCCTCCTTCCACCCCACCAGCACCATAGCCTGGTAGGTTACTGCAGCCACAGGTGCCTCTACATTTGGAAGCTTTTGCAAATAAAATAGGTGTGCACATTTAGCTATTTCATACCCATGCATGAAATGTATGTTTTTCATTTAAATGTAAGTTTATTCTAAATGTTATTTCCCAACACATGCCAGGATCGGTATATCATTGGCATGTCACAATTCTTTGATATGCTCTTGTGTGTGTGGATGTGCACGCACACATGCACATGTGCTGTATATTCCATATGACATGCAGAGATTCTATACAGATCTTTGCTTGCTAACAGCAGTCTGTGTGCACAGCTTTTTGCACGCATTTGTTGGAAACCAATTGCAAATATGACTTTAAATGCTGGCTGGTTTTTTTATCCTTGTTTGTGTACATCCTATTGTACTTTAAATCCTGATCCAATCCTTCCTGTCAAGAAAGATTAGTAGAGTTTGGCATTCCATGGGATAAGATGACATTCACTGGTTCCCCCTTTCCCCAGACGAGGGTGTATACTTTATCCCCGTCAGCCATGTCTTAATCAGGTCAGATAACAACAGCTGTCTGGCCATTTTCTCAGGAGACCAGAGCTGTTGCAGTCTGTATCAAGAAACGAACTGTTGCTAGATGCCTAGGAGGCTGGTGGGGTTTTAGCTGGAGGGAGAAAAAGCAGAGTTATGTTTAAATTTAGCATCACCAATGGGCCAAGCCAGATTTGATTAACTTCTGTCACCTAGAAGCCTTTCTTGTAAACCTTTTCCATTCTTTTTCACTGAACCAGAATAATAAATGCAGGCAGGCAGGAGTTTTTACGATTATTGTAGGAAATCACTAAAAGTGTTTACCAAACTCAGGGTTTTTCACTTGCTTGCTAGTTTGCTTGTTTGTTTACATCCGGACTGACCCTTGCACATATCATGTGCAGCTAGATGACAGACTTGCATAGATACTTCTAGTCCAAGAGTAGGCAGCCTTTGGGGCTGTGGGAACTTTTGGCAAATGGGAAACTGTCATGGGCACCACCACAAAATGGTTGTCATAATAGACATGGCAACAAAGTTCAATTAACATGCCCCAGAGACTTAATGCATAGTCAAATTAAATCCAAGCCCTAAAATATTAAACAGCTCCTTGAAGCCAATTAAGCCTAATTCACAGTAATCCCACTGCCAATGAGAACTTTTTTTTTTAAGAGTAGGATAGTAGGGCACCTTGGTGGGCACCAAGCAAGATGTCCAGAGGTATATTATTATTAATTTATTATTAATAAATAATAAATAAAAATATACTGGTGCCTCTGGCCAGCATTGTTGCTGACTGCTGCTCTAGTTCTTTATTTGAAAATTTTGCTTTGAAAAGTAAATACGTAACAGCCTTCATCTTCATTAGAAAATCAAACAGCTTCTTGTAATAATCACTGCCCAAGCTTCTTTCTTTCTTTTTTATTTGGATATTTATTAACTTCCTTCATCATTATATATTAGTGTGGGGAACAATGAAAACAAAACAATAAAGCAAAAAAATGGTCACACAACAGTCACACAAAATGACAAACTGTTGAAATCGCATCACAGAACAGGATTAAAAGGCAGAAAAGTGCAATAGAAGACAATGAAGAGTTTGAAAAGTTCGGGAAATGCAAAGTTTTGACCTGATGCCAAAATGATTGTGTACTTAATTGTGGCGTACAAACTGAAATAATAAATAAATAGTAAATGAGTCAGTGCTTGTCTCATCTCCATGGGACATGGTGTTCCACAAATGACCTCTAAATAGCATATCACATCTATGAAAACTACAAAAAGAACATAAATAAACTGTAAGTGCAGGAAAGGAAGTGACTTGTAGACCAATAATTATCTCTTTCTACCACACATACATATTTATGGTTTTGAGGCTGATGACCAAAACACCACCTTATATTAGCACTTAATCAGAACAAAGAACACTTAATATGATTTGCTTATAACTTTATATACGTAACAGTGTGTCTCTATAACCATTCAGCAGCTAGCAACTTTACCTCTGGAAGCAAATGCCTTGATATTCTAGGAAAACAGTTGATACTCCTCAGGTAAGACAATGGTTTTACATTAGAAGCTGAACATTTCCTGCATGGAAAAATATGAGTAGAAAATTAAGGATGGCCAAGTATAATGAAATGATCAGGGCTTAAAAGGGATTGTTTGGGTTGCTTTGTTCCATCAGTGCCAAATAAAAATTTCTTCATTGTCCTGTTTCTTCTGAAAGTTCAGCTATTTGTGGCTTCTCGATAACAATTATGCTTGCAAAATTTGAAATGGAGATGTTTTTAACATCATGTCCACTTGGGTAGTCAAAATGAACATGTAAAAACAACCTTTTAATGGTTTGTGTTGTGATTCCAAAAAGTGATAGTAGATATTCTGGGAAGTTATACTTGCATTCATGGTGGCTTTGATTTCTACCTTGTGTTTTAATAAAGCAGTAGGATATGTGATAAGTTGCTTGAACCTAGCAGGGCAGAAAAACAAAGGGGAACATGATTTCTTCCTCTACTAATTTCTTCTTGTAAATACCCTTTGATATAGATGACAAAGCTGAGGCTTTTGCCTCCTTCCTCCTCCTTCATTAGCAGTAAGTGTTCCTTTGTTTGAACTGTGGAATAGTAATGGTTCTACTCAACCTTTGCTTCAGGGACTATTTATTTTCCCAAGAACTATGAACTCCCAATACAATGCTGCTTGCTTTTGAAGAAGCAGTATGTATGCTTCTTTCTATAGCTCTTACTTTGCACCATTACAAGCTGAATCTATGCAACTACAGCTTACCAAACAAATGTAATTCTAATACTTTGTACCCTTCATTGGCCCTGTTAAGTACTGGCTACTAAGCTCTTGATTTTGCTCTGGAAGCCAGCAATCATTCTAATTTTATTTTAGTGATTGCGTAAATCAAGGGGTCTCAAACTACGGCCCGGGGGCTAGATCCGACCCGCCATGCCCATTTATCAGGCCCACCATGTCCATTTGGTGCTGCCACGTGCATGTCCACGCCCACCCCCCCACCTCGTCTCACGTGTGGGGAGGCAGCGGTTTGCTTGCTTGGAGAAAACGATCTCCAAGTGAGCAAACTGTTGCCTCATGTGTCCACCTCGCAGCGTGTGCTCACCACTGCCCGTGCCTCACCTCGCCTTGCCACGCATCCCGCCCTCACCTCAGCTGACTCGCCCGCACGCGCCGGCCTGAGCGCACTGCCAGCACCACCTTTCCGGACCATGCACAGCACCGGAAGCTTTCAACTGGCCCCCTGGTGGAAAAGTTTGAGGGTCCTTGGGTTAAATCATATGATAAAGCTGCCTTACACTGAGTCAGGCCATCCATTTTTTTATTATTATCTACCCAGGTGGGCAACATCTCTTCAAAATCTCAAGTAGACTGATATAGGGAGTCCCTGGGTTATGAGTGAGTTCCATTCCTGAGAAAATGGGAATTTGTCTTTAAGTTAAATTTGTATGTAAGTTGGATCATGTGTAGTCATCCCCCTACATTTGCCGGGGTTAGGGACACAGGACCCCCATGGAAGTGGGAAAATCACAAATAACTCTAGTTTCCACCCCTCAAAAAAATCACCAGAGCCTCCTCTTTGCAGCAAGGAAGTGTTGGAGATGGGTGGGCCAGAAAAGCATGCTTTGGAGGCCTCCATTTCTCCCCTTTCACTTCCTCTCCCTCTCTCTCTATGTCATGATGATTTTCGCAGTATTTTTTCAAAAAATTAGCAAGCTTTATGGCAGTTCATTCATAACTATGGGTTGTTTGTAACTCAGACATTTGTACTGGAACTGCCTGTCTCGTTTAGCTGGAGATGCCAGGAACTGAATCTGGGATCTCACATGTCAAAAAGCACATGAGCCAAATCTTGACATTTACATTCTGCTGAAAGAGAATATTTTAGCTAATAAATAAATCAAGTAAGCAAGCATTAAAGCCAAGGATGTTGGTTTACCACAGCATGCGGAGGAACCAGATTCTGCAATCAGAAAAATAATAATTAGGTTAAGTATCGACTACTGGATTTTTGTACTTAATTAAATGATGCTTCATACAATGAGATGGTGTAAAACAGGTCTCTGGAGCTAATGGCAATTCATCACCATGGAACAATGGAACTTAATCCCATTCTTGAACAGATAACCTTCAGTCTGAATTAGACTGGCAGCCCTTGCAGATTGGTAGAGAAGTAGTTTCATGTTGCTGCATTTTTACCATGCCCTGAAGAAATATTGACCCTCTCCTTTGACTTTTCCACATGGTGTTCTGATACAACCTGGAAATGAAAAGGATTTTATTGGCTTTGTGGACTCAGAATGACACTCAGAATGGTGGAGGT